CACCGAGGCCGAAGGCCAGGTTATACAAGCACCTTGCAACAAAAATTCGGAAGGGGGAAAATAGAAATGGCAGGCGAAATAAAAACTGCACAATGGAGGGAAAAGAATCTTTCCCTCCCTCTCCCATATCCCTCTCCCTTTCTATCCCTGTCCCGCTCTCCCTCAACTGAACCCAGGATAGAGCAACCGGCAAGCCATGCAGTATGTCCGAGTATGATGCCACCGCTTTCCTTTCTCCATTCGCTCACTTTCCCCCTTTCTCCGTAGTCTCTCCAGTCCCTCCACTATGAGGCCCGGCCCCACCCGGCCAGGCTCCACTCGGCCAGACCCCACCCAGCAAGGCCACACCGGGACCCTCTTGGCCCCTCCGCGGAAATTATGTTATGAGTGCAAGTTATGGCTGTAATAACATTGTGGCTGCCTACCTCCTGGGCGCAGGTGAGAGTGAGGACCCACTTTTTATTTATTTAATTACGCTTTCGGTGTGGGAGTGTATGAATATGCATGCTCATTCATTCCTTGCCGGTTCAGACACACACTCGGTAATGAACACGTCCATTCATATTGCGTTTCACTTCGCCCCTCTAATCACGTCGAGACGACGCCATTACGGCACAACTCGCGCGGCGGAGCCACCGCAACATTTCCAACCGGGACAGAAACATTTACAGCGCCTCCCAAAAATATTTGGTCAAAACTGTGTGTGTTCTGAAGAAGCGCGAGGGAAACACAAAGAGGGCGACCCACATCACAGAATGCCAAGTAGCATTCTGGTCGAACGAACACGACAGGTGCGGAGAAAGAGAAAAAAGGGGGGGGGGCAGTCGGTGATGATGTGGTCGGGGGAGAAAGGTAAAAAGGGAAGGGAGCGGGGCGGGATCCGAAGAAGGGCGACGCGCAGAATCGGTTTGAAATGGCGGTTGGCTTTGACACGCCCAACGATATTCAAGACAAGGCGGGGATAGAATCATCGTGCTGTTTCCAGCACCTGAGGCGCCCACCCTCCCCCCTTTACCCATCCTCCCCCAGCCCCGCACGCACCGCACCTCCGACCCACGGCAAGCACACGATTTTCCACGCGAAAGGCAAATATGACAGAATAAGCGGCCACTGCCTTGCTCGCCCCTGACCGCGTCGAATCCCGTTACTCTCACAACAGTGAGGAAATCGTCACATCGTACGTGTAGGAAGTTGGCGCAGCGCTAATGCGAAATCAGTTACTCCGGAATAAAGCTCTCGGTACACGAACCAAAACTAATGCAATGTTCATCACTGTGAAACAAAAAAAAAAAAAAAAAAAAAAAAAAACTTTGCAGGGAACGATGTAGAATTACGATTTAAAATGGTAAAATTACAAGCCCTCTATCAATTTGGAATTCATAGACAATCAAGAACGGGCTGTTGTAAATTAACAAAATACCAGGTGGCTGATTAACCCCGCTCACTTCTGTAGTTATCGAGGGGGAAACGACTAAGGTAATCCGGCTGACAGCCGAAAGGTAATCCGGCAGGGGTAATCCGAGGAAATTCTAAAAAATCCGTGGAAATCCGGGGGAATTTTGGGGTAATCCGGGAAAATTTTGCGGGTAATCCGGGGTAATCCTAGAGAAAAAGCAACGTAATCCGGAGGACACTCCGGAGGTAATCCGGGTAATCCGGAATCCGGCTGACACAAAGTTTAACAGTCGTTTCCCCCTCGGTAGTTATGCTGTGCCGCACGCACGAGTGCGCGTGGGTTGCCTACTCGCTCGGCCCGTAAGGCGCCGTGGACAGGGGCGATAGGCAGGCAAGCCCGTCCGCCCTCGTGCGTGCGGTACAGCACAACTACAGAAGTGAGTGGGGTTAATCAGCCACCTGGTATTTTGTTAATCAATAAACAATATAGTGGGGAATTAACGAAGGTGTTTTTCACACGTGTTTTTAAATAGCAAATAGAAAATTAAATGTATAAGAAAAGTAGGTCGTCGTTAAATTACGTGGCAATGTTTGTTTCCGTATAGTTAAGGTGTAAGGAGAGGATGCGCAAAACTCCGTAGAAGCGTCAGCTATACAGGGCGTCGGTGGAGTGTGAAGTTTGCAGGCCGTCACTGTCTCGCCCGTGGTTTGCCTGGCTCTTCAGCACCGCCCGTGCGTGAAATAAGGGCGGACGCCACACATCGGCTGCGGGTGGCGCGGCGCGGCGGGGTGGGGTGGCGGGGCGGGGCGGGGCGGTGGCGTGGGAGTGCTCGCGCGAGTTACGCCCGCCGGATGAGCGTGACGACGCGCGTCCACCTGCGCCTCGCACGGAGCGCCACGTCTCAAATGTCGCGCCATCGTGGGCGTTCCACTACACATGAGAGCTTTTGGTAACAGCAATAATTTGCATGTTAACCGTTAACCTGCATAATACTCAACAAGGATTTTTTTCGTGGCCGAAATCTGGTCACCATATTGAGCAGGAATCAAGCGACAACCACTACTCGTACTCGTGACGAGGTGGAGTGGCCCCCCAGAGAGGCAGAGGGTTTCAGTCCCCCTTCCCCCAGTACTCACTTCTCACATAAATCACTGCCGGAGCCTGCGCGCCGCACGCCGCTCCCTGGGCCTTTTATATTTACATAAACAACGCGCCGGTAGGAAAACCTGTTTCTATAAATTGGAAGGCGCTGAGCCAACGGGCCGCGCCGAGAGCCGCGCCAGCCAGACAGCAGGCAATGTAGCCGCTGATCCAATTTTAAAGTTATGCCCATGAGTGCCGCGAGGGGACGGGGGAAAGAGTAGTGGGGGGAGCGCCGGTGCAAACAAATATTACATCCGACCACCGTCAGCACGCTTTGCAGAGATGTCTCTCCCGCGAGCAGTACATCGCACTCCTGCTCTCCGTACCTGGCGGCGCGGCGCTCGCCACCTCCACGCCGATCCACCGCAAACAAAGGGGGATTAGACTTGCAGCGGCCGGGCGGAAGGGGGTGGGGGCGTGTGTAGGCGCGAGAGCATTCAGCGGGTGAGGTTAAGGGGGCCGGCCGGGACGCCGAGGGGGAAATGGCACGGATATTGGTCTGAATGGGTCCAAATGGACGGCCGAGTCGTGGTGGCGGTGGCTGTGGCGTGGCGTGGCGAAGCGTGGCGGGGCACGGCGGGGCGATGCCTCGGCACAGGCTCAGGCCCCGGCCCGGCGCCGGCATTCAAATTAACGCGGCCGTTTGCAAGCGTTACTTGGGCGGCCGGGCCGTGTGTTCGGGGCGTTGTGAATGGCCCTCCAGTGAAAGGGAGCGGGGCGCGCTAGAGAGAGGCGTGAGGGGAGATTTTGTCGCCCGAGAGGGAGAGAGAGAGAGAGAGGGAGAGCGAGTGAGATAAAGACCAGGGTCCAGCCCGGGCGGAGGCGCGGACCCTATATTGCTTCTGAGGGAAATGCATGGTGGCACCCTCGGATTGTTCTCAAAATAGCCCGGAAGTAGGGCATCTTTTCTGTATACATCCGCCCCCCCCCCCTCGTTCTCTTGCTCCTCTCCCTCTCTCTCTCTGTTGTAAGCAAAAGGACGCAGAACAAAGAGCATGTCCCATTTGTGCATCTTTCGCGCGCCCCGTCCATACATTTTGCGCCGTGTATTGCCGCGTTAAACAATGGACTGAGGCGGACCCCAGAGGGCAAGAAAAATGTAAAAGGGAAGAAGAACTCGAAGAGGAGGAACATCACCGGGTACGCGCCCGAGCGTTGTGGCAACCGGGCCGCAGCGCCCTTGCCGTCCTCAGAAATGGTGAAAGTATTCGAGTTCCAAAGCGGCCTAACAAGGTCCCATCCGTACGGGTTGTAGTTGATGTGCATACAATGGTACTCGACGCTGGAGAGGGCGGGGGCGTGGAGGGGGATGAGTTAGGGGCCGGGAGGAGGGCGGGGGCGGCGCGGGGGCGGCTCGGGGGTGGCACACACGCCGTATATCTCCGCGCTCGCCTGGATATGCCACGCCATGCGTATACGTTATACACGCAGTGTAGGGGCCGAGCTATGTGTCACCCCCCACCCCCTCCCCCCAGTCCCACCACTCTGCTCTTCCATGTTGAGACTCAAGACGGCAGTCCAGGCGAAGCTAGGCCCGGCCCAGCATTAGCACCGGGGCCCGACGACACACAAATGCACCATAAATTGGACCAAATTAATTATTCTCCTCTGTGCACTCGAAAAATTCCTAGCGCTGCTTTCACCTCCTTCCCTCCCCGTAGGAACCAGGAGGCTGTGTCGTGTGTCGTGTAAGCGTGCCGGCACAGACCGAGATCCCGAGACCAGACCCAGCAGGGGGCACCACGTCGCGCGACTATATTATACTTTAAAACACACGCAAATTTTAACGGAGGAAAAAAAATACACCGCGTCCCCCCTTTTCACCAATGTTATTTATGTATTTGCGGCGGTGCGCAGAGTGCGCAGCCATCACGAGGCGGCAGCTCGTCATTATCATGGCCAAGTGGCCCTGCATGGCTGCCACTTAGCGCCGCCACCAGCAGGCCCCAACTGCACAGCCAGCCTATAGTGCGCACTCGTGAAAAACACAGTAATACTAGCACAATCCCCGTACCCTAGTGTGGCACTTTCATACCACTGCCGCTCAGCTAAGAAAAGCAACTCGAGTGGTGAGACACAGTTTGGCGACGGAATTTAGCAGGGCAAAACACACTAGGGGCTGAAATTTTGTTACGAGTGTAGGCCGTAAAGGTGCCACATGGAGTGGCTCCTGCCCGGGCCAGGCCCGCTCCGCGAGCGCCGCGCCGCCGGTCCACTGCAGGTGGCGACAGCTGGGCCCGGCTGGATGTGCTGCAGATAATTACGTCTCACACGTCTCACAGCCTTTTTGCCGGCGCCACGTGAATAAATAAACGCAGAGCTTCGTATTCGGATTGACGTTTCTACAACCCCTTCCCCCCTTCTCGCCCCCTTCTCTCCCTGTCTCCAAACCGGCAGGCACTTTCGAGCCGCCCCCGCTCGCACGGCGAGAACCAGTCGTCCAAAATTAATATCAGCAGGGTATGGCAAAAAGGAAAACCGAGGGGGAAAAGACTGAGGTGGAACTTCGTCTAACAACGCTTGGCTCGGGCTCCCCGCGCCGCCCACCACGACGTACCTCGTCCCTGCAATCGAGAAAGTTTCGAGTGAAAGATACACAGCCAGCCGATGGTAGAGGGCCGAGGCAAAGGTAGCGGCACCGCTCCCCAACAGCTCCTCCCGCGCGTGGGGGCGTGGGTGTGGCGCGGCGTGGCGTGGAGGCGCGGGGGACCCTATGGGCGCCGGTCCGCGCGCAATTCATAGTAGCTAGCTCGCTAGCTCACTGGAGATTAGTTAGTAAATCCTGCCTCACACACATGTGCCCCGGGCACAGCACGAACAAAAAGCCTCCCGCGATCAGAGACTGGCTCAGGGATCTTAGCCTCGGTCTTACCCTTGCTAAGGCCAGCAGCAGCAGCAGCAGAAGAGCGCCCCGTTACTTTCAGCCCCGTCGCGAGCCAACAGTTGGGGGCTTGGCAACGCACCGCCTTGTGTGCCGCCCCGCGGTCCCGCGGTTGTGGCAGGCCTGCGGGGCCGGGCCGGGGCCGCGGAGCCAGCCGGCCAGCGCGACCAACATGGCGGGCAAGAAGGTGGCGTGCGACCTGGGCGCCAAGACCATCAACCTGACCCGCTACGCGTGCGGGCCTTCCAAGGCGGGCGGCGCCTCCAAGGCACTCGTCATGTCTTCGACGACGGGATCAGGGGACTGCGGACGGCCACCTGCCTCCCCCGGGGCCACCTCCGGGCCCAGCTCCGGGGCCACATCCGGGCCCAGCTCAGGAGCCGCCTCCGGGGCCGGGCCGCCGGGGAAGCCGCCGTGCCACCCGTGCCTGCCGCGCGCGCCCGTGCCGTGCACCCCCGAGCAGGCGGCAGCCGCGCTGCGGCCCCCGTGCCCGCCGCCCGCCTGCCCGCCACCGCCCGTGCCCGCGGCGCTGTGCCCACCAGGTAGGCAGCATGAGTGTTGCGTCACGGAGACGAAGTCCTCTCGAAAGGGCTCGCGAGATGTCACGGAGACAGCCGCGTCACGGCTGATCCGAGTGCAGCGGGCGCGGAGCGCGACGCCCCGCGACAAGGTGTCTTCATTAGGTTCGCAAATTAACGCCCCTCGCCTCCCCCGCGCCGCATTCCGCAGGGCGCGTCCGGAGGGGAGCAGGCCGTGCAACGAGTCCCAGTGGACGCGGCGAACAGCGGAGGAAATAGGCCCGGGGGAGGGGGAGGGGGAGCTGGTGTCAGGCGGAAGCGACGGGAGAGGAGGCGGGGGAGGCCTTCCCGCACAGCTTTCAAAACGAAAATGATTTCGAGGTTTGCGGCCGTGGCGTCAGGGCCGTAAGAGAAGCGCCTAGGAGGGAGGGAGGGAGACCATGGAGGGGCCGCCGCCCTCGCGCGGTCCGAGGCGGCAGTGCGCCGCTGCCCTCCAAGACGGACCCACTGCGCGCCGGTCCATCACCGGAGACAAAGCTGTCCCCGCGCGCATACTGGAGAGGAGGGGTCGCCCTCATAAGTCTTATTTCCACCTCTTTCGCGCCCGCCTTCGCCCGCCCTCGCGCGGCCCCGCACACTAACTTGGGAGAGAAGTTTGTTTCTCTCGATTCGGATGATTTATCACTGCGCGCCCCGCCGCCCCGCCGCGGGCCCCATTTCCATAACACTGTTGACGTATAGCTCCGGGATGACACCTAAAATCGAACGCCCCCGCCCGGGTCCAGGGCGGCGCGCGGCGCAAGGCGCAGCAGCAGGGCGCGGGGTACGAGGCGAGTACCCCCGCTACGCCCCCCGAGCCCCACTCCACGAGAATGACGGTGATGAATCGAAACTGCAATGTAGATGTGAATGAAGTAGTTCTTCCCGTTTACGCGGCGCCATTCAGCCCGCCGCATTCAAGGCGCCCGCCCACTGCGCCCGCGCTCCGCCCGCGCCGGGCGTCCGCGCTCCGCCCACCCAAGGGCCCGCGGCTAGTCAGCGCCGCTTTGTTCCGCCGGATACTGATGACCCGCTGCCATTCACTGGGGCCGAGGGCAGGGCGCGGCCAAGCCCCGGGCGGCCAAAGCTTTTAAAAACACTTCTCGGAATATCCTCCTAGTTGTGCCAGTCGGCGGAAGTTGCTTCCACTGCTGCTGCCATGCTTTTCTGAGGACATTACCATTCACGATCTCCTCTGCTTTTGCTTCTCTTTTTTTCAGTTTGTTTGTTTCTTTGTTTACAGTCCGTGAAATGAGTGGTATAAACTCCGTGTTGTCGATATCAAAAGGATGGAAGAGGGGTGAAAGATTATAACAGGGTATAAAGTCCGTAGTCGGTGCGCAAAGACGAAGAAAGTTCCT